ACAAAAGTGCTCTCAATCAATTTCACCAAATTTGGAAATGAGTAAAACAAACAAAAATGAGAATCTGAACTAACCTAATCATCTCTTGTAAAAATAAGAAACATGAAAGAGGGAGGTGAAATTGGGAATATTGACTATTGGAGCTTAAGTGCAATAATGCCTTGTCCATATTAGTGGAAACACTTTAGAGGTTTTATCAGGAGGATCTCAGGTATGACTTGCTCAACCAATAAAAATATTTTTAAAATATATTCTGTAGCCCCTTTGGGTCCCACTGCTCCATTTCCAATCCAGGTTTATGATAATGTTCGTGAGGAAGCAGTGGAAAATAGAACGAGGACTTGGATCCTGTCACTCACCTGGAAGACACAGATGTAATTCTGGGTTTCTGGCTTCAGCATGACCCATCCCAAGCCTTTGTGGCCATTTGAGGGGTGGAACATTTCCACTCTTATTTCTCTCTCTCATCTCTTTCTCTCTCGGTAACTCTGCCTTTCAAATAAATTAATCAATAAACAAATCTTTTCAATATTTATATGCCTTCTTTTGGGAGATGATGTCTAGTCTAGAGGTTATGGTAGCTACACCCCACGTTGGAATGCTTGAGTGAGATTCTTGGGTCTGAATCCTGACTCCAGCTGCCCACAAATGCAGACTCTGCGAGACAATGATGATGGCTCACGCGCTTGAACTCCTACCTCCTACAAGGGCAACCTGGATTGAGTCTCTGTGTCCTTCTGCGGCCCTGGCTCAGCCCTGGCCATTGTGTATTCTTGAAGAGCAAAGCATCATGAAACTCTCTGTCTCTACTGTTTTTCCCCTCAAATAAATTATGAATTGCTATATACACATATAATATATGCATACATGCATAGCGTACATGTATAATATACAGATGTATCCTTCAACACATTGTTCAAAAGACAATGCTGTGAGAAAACGACTGGTTTCTCTGATTGCAAAGGAACTTTATAGACTTTGAAGCAAATGAGAAAACTTCAACCATTTCATACTTACTTATTGTTGTTAGTTTTAGTTAGACTAATATGAATAACCTTTCATTTCAGGTCCCTGTTAGTGACTTATAAATAATAGCTCTTACTTCTGAGTATTTCCTAGTAATATCATCACTATTTCACAGAGAAGAAAAAAAAGATCTGCAGAGATTAGATAACTGGCTTCATGCAGCTATGGGACAAAAAGCCAGACATTAAATATAGGCAATCAAATTCCGCAGCCATTTTTATTGGGCACAACATTTACCATCCTCAAATAGAATTCACATTGGTACCACAATCTTGCTTAAGATCCTATCAGTCTTTTAAGTTACAGTGGTAGCTGTTTGCTTTGTACAGAATTTGCCTGTGCTTAGCTCACAGGGAAGGAATGAAAAACAAAATAGCACACAGCATAGCAGTAATTTACATTTCACTTTTAAAAAATTAAGCTTACGGTACAACAACGGACACAATCAGAGAACAGGCCCTGACTCGCCAAGTCTCACACTGCATGCTGCACAACAAAGAGGATAAAAACACGAACCTTCGATGGACAGTTCCTTTATGTTACATTTGTTGGTGCAGTTTTCAAATGTTTGTCCAGCCGCTCTGAACCTGCAACTATTCAGTTGTAATGAAAATTATTTATTTCACTATGTTCAGAGTGTGATACTGCAAATGTGCTAGGATTAAAAATGATCACTAGAATAATTTTATGTTTCTCCTGCCACCTTTCTGGAGAGTAGATCTTACAACTAGAGGAGTTGGCCTGAGGTATCCTGTACCAACATACAGTACAGTGACAATGGTTGGATACGAGTCTCTTCATGTCTGTGCACATCCGTTCTCACTTTTATGTGTCCTTAAGTGAATGAGTCTGCAAATGAAAGGGGAGAATATAGACAAGGTGGAACTAAATGCCTCTGTTTGAAATACAAGAAACACTTTGGCCCAGGGAGGCTCAAGGGACAGCAAGCAAGGGAATCAGAGTCCTTGGTATGAGACAGGACATGCTGGTGAGTGGGGATGTAGGCGTTACACTGGGTGTGATAAAAAGTTTTACTTCTGTTCTGTGGCAGCTACATCTACGTTGTTGAGCAATACTGGAAGTTTGGCCCTATTTTTGAGAATGTGTGGCTGGAGAAGATTTCAGGACTGGCTGCTGAAGAAGCCAGGTGATGTAACCAAGATAGCCCTATAGAAAGTATCTTCTACATCAGAAATAAACATACATGTTGCCAGTCATTGTGCACATCGTATGTGTGTATACACAAAAATCTTTCTGAAATTCTGCACAAGTCAGGGACAGGTCTCAGAGCTGAAAGGCATCATTTTTCTTGCCAGAAGTTTCTGAGATACATTTAAAGCATGGACACTTGACACCCCTTGGAAAGCAGAAGCCCAAGTGGTGCGAATGAAGAGAGGGAAAATGGAAAAAATTCGTAGTGACTGAACATTGGACAGACCTAGGGGTGTCCATTGGCCTCTGAACAAACAAGCCAGAAACATTTCCTAAGAGAAATCTCAGGCAATGATAACTACTGTTAGAGAATGTGGTGGCTGGGGAAAGAGCCCTCTTTCTAAGACACATGTAGGAAAGCCTCAGACTTCGGGAGCCCCTATTGGAATATGCAGTGTGCCAACGGTCTGACTGCAAATTCAAGATCTGTGTTGGCTGAGAGCCCTTTGTGTTCCTAAACCTGTTTTCAGGCATCTGGAAAGTCCTTGATGGTGGGAACATGAGTCTGCTCTGCAGAATCCAATCTTGTGTTACATGGAGCCTCCAGCCAAAACGGGATTCTCACAGGAGGGCCATCTCTATCCACAAGGTTTCACACACACAAGGGTATGTCCAAAACTTTGTGGCAAATGAAACTGCTTATCAATTTTAGGGCAAACATTTGAAATCCAGCAATCTTTTTCTGAACACTCATTTCCCATAAACTTTCTGAAGACTTGTAAGAAAATTTTGTAATGGTCTATTTATAGACTATGTACTTTCAGTATTAGAACCTTCAGAACTTTTTGTTTCATTTCATACAACCAATTGCTATCAGCAGTAGATGAAAAGCTGATGATGCTAGCTTTTGTCAAACACACTGAAGAGCTAATACAAATATGTCACTTACAATGAAGACACCTGCCAACAACAGTCAAGGAATAAAAAAGAGAAACAAGTTAGATTTCTTGAATTTACACCAACTAAGCAGTATAGAATGTGGATATTACTGATTTCATTCTTGCCTTTTTGCAAAGTAGGTGCTCTCTGTGCATTTCACTGCTGCCATGGCCTGGGAGAAAGTCCTGCTTAATATTGCTTTCAGAAGGGAAGTTACAAGGGAAATTGCTATCATACAGGGAGAAGGTACCGTCATCCTCTTCTGACACCACATAAGAAGGAAAGGAGGAGAGAATTAAGCAAAGAAATTATGGAACTGGTGTCTTCCTCCCCTCCCAACCTACCCTATTCTTTCTTCACATTTAGGTGTTGGGGAAAAGAAAGGACACCTACTTGTACCCAAGTTGGAAAAGAATGGGCACCCCATTTGATCCTTCTCACTTGATCAAAGATTTTACTGTGTCTTTCTAGAAACAATATTCACCCTTCACCACAGCCGTAATCAAAGTACAACCCTTTCTATTAGAGGCAATGGTGGAGAGAAGCCTTTAGCTGCAGATGATGCAAAGACCGGATGATCCCATATATGCCAATGCAAATCGGGGGCCTGGGCCACTCCAGACCATTTGTTCCATCACAGAGGCCAAGAAGGATTAGGGGACACATTGCAGATTCAAGGCTCTCAGCAGGCACCCAAGCACCATCCCTGAGGACTAGTGTGAGAGTTTCTCACCACCAGTAAGTACCAGCAAGAGGCTGGCAGCCCACCTTGGAGACCTCTTTATATCCAGAACCCGAGTCAGGGAAACTGGAGAGAACCAAGATTTAAAATCAATCATCAGATTCTACATGAAAGTTAGCATGATTCATTTGGGAAGCAGCTGAAGCTGTTAGTTTAAAATTTTTCTCAACAATGAGGAAGGGTTTTTATTTCCTTGGCTATGTGTTGAAATGGACTGTCTAGAATCACTCATTGGCCAAACATGCTATTCAAGACACAGAGCTAAGTCAAGGACAGCATAATAGAACATTTCATTTCATTTACTTTCATCTGTCTATAATACTTATCATTTCCTTTTCTAAAACTCAAGTTATCCTTTTACTTTTGGGTATCATTGGATTCTTTTTTAGAATAAAATGGACTTTATTCCCACAGCACTTGACTCAGCGCACATGCCCTTCCCTCCCGTCTGCTTTGCTGCTTGTATTCAGTTCCTTTTCTCTACAAGATTAATCCTCACAGGATCGTCAGGAGGACTGCATGAGTAAGTCCTCATGAAGTGCTTAATGTGCTACTTGGCAAAAAAGCAAACGATTTCCAGTGTTTTTCCTTTTATGGCAACTCCTTCAATGATGAGTAAGCCATTTATGATGGCTTGGTATTAATAATGAATAAATATGGATTGTAAAAGCAGACATTTTCCCTCCATTATCACCCACTGCCCAGCATAACCAAAAAAAAGAGCCCAGAATAGAATTCTGAATTTTATTAGAGAATATATCTAAAATACAATATTTATTAAGTTATGATATATTATCTGAATGGAAATATACTCTGTATCACAACTATAATTATAACAATTTTTACAGATAATACTTCATTTACATCTCTAGAATTCAAAAGTCACTGAATTACAACATAATTCATCTTTAAGATAACTTTGCTACAAATATATAAGACTTTCTAAAGATATTCTTTAATGTATCATCTTGAAATTATGAATGTGCGCTTTCTCTAACTTAAATTACATAGAATCATGACTTTACCTGATTGCCTTTACTAGTTTATATCACAATTTGAGTTTGCACTCATCCATTCTATTTTCCTAAGCTTCAAAAATAGCTTTCGGCGGACAATTAGGAGTACTCAGCACCCTCTGTGCTACAAACAAAGGTATTTTATTCCTCTTCCTTGTATTATAGTTTCTGTTACAGAAAGCCTACACCATAAGCAAAGCACCAACCAGTCACAGCCATTCTGTCAAGTGTGACATTTGGTACGACTCTTCACATTTTATTAGTAAGTACATCAGGAGAGATGGGGGAGTCCAGAAACACCAGGCCCAACGCAGCCAGGTTTCAAATCACCAAGGTAGATTTGTGCTTAGCTAAAGGGAAACATCGGGAAGTTCATCCTTCAGACTCTGGGTCTGAGCCGATCAAGCGAAGGAAGCCTTGACTTGCCGGCTCTTGAGCGGCTGAGCTGGGCGCCAGTTGTCCACCATCGGGTCTTCAGGTTCCCCGTCTTTGTTGAAGCTGAGGTGACGGAATCCCAACATCTAAAGACACAGTAAAACATTTAAAAGTAAACTTTCACAGTAGTATTCGCTCTGTGCCTTTGTTACCACAGTATGGCTTGGCTTGACATACATTTCCCAATATTTATGGTACCCTGAATCAATCACCAAAGTGCAATTTGATTTTTGCTACATGTATAATCACATATGAGGGTACTTCACAAAAGTTCATGGCATCTCACTTTCTCTCTCTCTCTTCCCCCTCCTCTTCTTCTTTTCTGTAGTTCTTTCAAATAAATAAAAAATAAATCTTAAAAAAAAAAAACTTGGGGGTGGTATATGGCATAGCAAGTTAAGTTGCTGCCTGTGAAGCTAGCATCCCATATGGGTGCTGCCACTTCTAATCCAGTTCCCTGACAATGACCTGGGAGAACATGTTTGGGCCCCTGCACCAATGTGGGAGACCAGAAAACGTTCCACTCCTCTATTCTGCCATGGCCCAAGCCTGGCCCTTGAAGACATCTGGGGATTGAGCAAGCGATGGAAGATCTCTCTGCCTCTCCCCACCTCCCCCTGTAACTGTGCCTTCCAAATTAATTTTAAAAAGGGGGGGAGGGGAAGGTTCATTCATGGAAATGGAATTAAAATAAGCTTATTTTGTTGAAAATATTTGTACATACATATGTATTTTTCATAATACACATTCTGTTTGCCTTTTAAAAGTTCTATGAAAGTGTAAATGTTATAAAACAATTTATATGAAATATACAAAGCATTGGACTCATTTTGAAAGACATTGTCAGAAAGCTTTTTTTTTCTTTTAATTTTAAATTAAATACTCAAAGTCTACAAAACCATACTTTCAAAATTTAAAACAACAAATCATAAATCTCAATTAAATCTTTGCTTTCTAGCTGTGGAAGACAACAGTCCCCTTGAATTGAAGTAACAGTCAGAGGTTCAGGATCCACAGGCTCTGTGGGCCAAGTCTGCCCAAATATGCAGAAACACAGGGAGGAACAGCCCTCTGGGATCCAAAACTCTTGTCATTGGTTGGCTTTTATTCCCTTTTATGCTTTGCTTTCCTGACCCAACAATCAGACACAGGTAGCCCTCAAAGTAGTACTTCTCTTTTTCTAAACAAGACTTGATCTAAATGAAGAACAATGGTTTGAGCAAAAGAATCGCAAGAACCAAGAGACCTGAGCTGATATCTTTTGATCAATAACATTCCCTCTGTCATTTACATAATGTCAGCTTTGAATTATGTCAACTATTGTAAACATTCCTGACTAGTACTTCAATTCAAGGGACTATAAAGATACCTAGGGTTGATGCATTGCAACAGAATCCCAAAAACCTGAAATAACGAGTCTGTTTATAAAGTGCATGAGTTTAAGTGATTTCTACCCCCCATTCGACCTACTAAATTATTCTAAAACTGGTCAACTTATTATTGTAGCATCAGAGTTAAAAACCCATCTATACAAAATAATGGAAGCAAAATGTAACAAACCCATTGATGATGCTTACTGAACATTCATCCTTCCTACACTTTCTCACTAACAGAGATAGGCACCCTCCCCCAACTTTAAATTCACAGGTTAAATTTGTAGGTCCTGACTGACCGTAATGACCACTTTCTCTTGCTGAAGACTGAATTAGAAGCAATAAAGAGATACAATTCTCACTAATGAATATGGGAGACGTTTGCTAGGTAGGTATCTTCAGGGAAACTCTCTGCTCATAGAGAAACAATGGAAGAACTACTCCTTTTCTCCTCAAACGCAGGCTGTGGCTATACATGATGCCAAAACTGCTTTTGCAACCGCCTTGAGGATGCATTCCTTAACTGGGTAAGGAAGTTCTGACTTTCTGGGCTAAGTATGCCCTTACCAGCAGGTTCCATGTGATATGATCTGGAAAATATCACTGACATTGGCAGTTTACCAATATACACAATTATTAGTTCCAGCTTAGCACCACTTTGCACTTGAAGGGCAAATACAAAGTACAAAGACTAGCGGTGTAAGTTCAATTGCCCTTACCCATAGGTGTAGTTGTATGTATGGGTGTGTATGTTGACAATAAATCTATTTGTTGTAAGAGCTCTCAATGGAAGACTCCGGAATTCAATATAGATTGGTCTTGGTGAAGGAAGAAATCAGAGTTTAAATTGTGACTCAATTATTATATACACAAATAAGAAGTGGTATTGTAATGTCACGTGACGATTTCAGGAAGTTTGCTCAAATGTTAAGAAACCAATTTTCAAGTCACACACCAGTCAACCATACTGTATTTTCCAGCCTGCTTTGATATAGTACAAGTTAATTTCCAGTTACATATGGATCTAAGAAAGATGTGGAGCATCTTCTGTATTTGTAAATTCGTACATTAAAAGAAAACTCAACAATAGAATCCTTGCTCCCAAATTTGATTATTCTGTGATATAGTGAGTGGAAAAAACTTTTTCATAAACCTTAAATGTTTATTGACACAATTATAGTCAGGAAAATGAGAAACTTGGACAATGTAGTCTTTACTTATCATTGAAGCTCTATACTTCTCTGATAATCACATTACAACCACTCAGAGTTACTTTCAAGACTGTTGAAGTCTAACTCTGCCATTATTCAGGATCCAAGATCTTGTGGGTCTCATTTAGAAATGTCCAGATCCTACAATTCAGCTAACGACTAGGAGACACTCTAGGAAGAAATTCATCCACATCCACTTTGGTGAATACTCATCAGTGACTTGGATGTCGAACTGAACACTTGAATACCACTAGAATTTTGATACATACTTTTCCTCAAGGGATAACTTTTCTCTCAGGATTTAAATAGAAACAAAACTGCACCAAGCTCTCAGACAGTGAAGCATAAGCTGGGGATTATCACTGATACCTATATGTTTCCTTCAAATGACAAAAAAAAAAAAAGTTTACAGACACCTTTCTCATTCAATCCTGTTTTACAGACTAAATAAACTACCTAATATGATTAGTAATAAACATCTACTGAATGGTGTTCCATGGTAAAAGAAGCAGGAGGAAGATTTAACCTCACGTTTGTGTGGCCCCGGAACTCTCCTGCCCTTAATAAATGCTTGACCTCTCTAAACTGACTTCTCATTAGAAAACTGACCTGCTCACTGCTCACGCTGATGGGTTCTTTAAGCACAATCCAAGTCACACATTCCAGAAGAGGAGGGGTGGTCAGTGAGCCTGGGTAAGTCCAGTAGTCCAGACTTCCAGGAATGAGGCCACGAGGATCAAAGTTAGCAAAGTCAACGCTCTTACCCTGAAACAGAAAGAAATCAGTTAGAAGTGTCATGTGCTGGGGCTGGCACAGTGGCTCAGCAGACTAATCATCCACCTTCAAATGCCAGCATCCTATGTAGGCACCTGTTACGTCCTGGCTGTTCCACTTTGAATCCAGCTTCCTGCTTATGATCTAGAAAGCAGTGGAAGATGGTCTAAGTCCTCAGGGCCTGCTCCCAGAAGAGGCTACTGGACCCTGGTTTTGCATCAACTGATCTGTGGCCAATGCGACCGTTTAGGAATGAACCATTGGATGAAAGATACCTGTGTGCGTGTCTCCTCTCTGTAAATCTGCCTTTTCAATAAAAATACATAAATCTTTAAAAAATAAAAAGAAATGCCATATGCTCAAAGAATAAGGCATAGAACCTAAATAGGCTTATTCTTCTCTGATAGCCATAAACATTTTTATGAAAAACTAATCCCCTAGGAAACTAGATGAAAATATGGTGCTTATTTATTTAAATACAACCTTCCAAGTGTTTCAAAGGATCCAATGGTTCTTCTCCATGTGTTTCTCATTTTATTCTCTATAAAACATTACCTTAGTCCTAATAAATTAAAATCATTAACAGATCATATTGAGTATTTTCAGTGTTTGTTTTAACAGAAATCCAGTATACTATTGAAGGGGTGACAACCTTGCTATCTTCTTTGATAGTTAGATTACAGCTAAAGAAATGCATTCAGTTCTGAACACAACACTTTTAAAGCATCTGATGCAAAAAGAAATACAAGAGTGACAAGCTGGTTGCAAAGGGGGAAAAAAACTATGTCATTTGAGAATGACTACTGAGAACTGAAAAGAATTAGCCTAAGAGAGAGCAGGAGCATGAAGTGGTGCAAGCTTTATTCTACATGATCCCAACATCTCAAGCGAGGTGTGAAGGATGAGCATCTCTGAGGATGTGCTTTCTAAAGCCAGAACTGTTGTGATTACCCCGCAGTTTCACATCACTGGAAGGAACTGCAGTGTTTAAGCAGATGATCTCAACACAGCTAGGTTGCAAAGAGACGCTGAATGGCTGACTTCAAAGAGGGGCCAGCATATAAACTCCATAAAGCAGGGCTTTGTTCATCTTGTTCACTTTGTGGCTGCTGGATTAGCAAAGTGGTAAAGACACAACACATTTTCCCTGTTATGAATGATTGAATAATTTGACCAGATGTGCTTTCAGCAGTTGTGGCATTCTCTGACACTTAACTGTAGATATTCACATGATAGGAAGCAAGACCTTACTGTTAGAATTAAAACCAGGTTTTATAGAAAAAGAAAAGTTGGTTAAATGTATAAACATTTTTTTACTTTATCAACAGCCTATGCAAAGCCACATGATAATAAGGCTATTCAGATTGATCCAAAGAAATTTCTATAACCAATAGAGTATTAAAAATAGGTATTTAATTCTATAGCAAAAAAAAAAAATCAGCTTTACCTTTGTTTTGATAGAACTCAGTGTGTCCACAATTCTCTGGAGGCCTGGGTTAGCACTCCCAATCTATAGCAAAACAAAACAGGCAAGATCTGTGACTCAGCTGCCAAAAGGCCGCTTTAGACTTAGGCAGCTCTAACACAACATTTACAGAGAATGAAACGAAATCGACCATTTTGTACATGATTGTCCACCATCCTTAGACTCATGACCTATGATCCTGTAGACACCCAGACTTTCACTGAATTTGCAACCTGCCCCTGACTTGTTGCCTGTTGGCACCCTGAAAATACCCTCTTAAATGTGTCCAATAAACTTCACATGCCCCGGGATGCCCTTCAAGTGCATAACTTTACTTAAATCCCTTGCAGGACTTAACAGCACTGCCTTTTCTTTTAAAAAAAGATCTCATCTGGCTTTCTCTATGTGCCCCATCCTCGTGTATTTCTCTGGACTCTTTCCCTTATAGTTTATATAATTTTACACTGTCCTATGGGTATTGTATTGTCTGGTTCTCAGGGATGGGTTTTGAACAGCTTTCTCACCTACCTTTCTGTGCTGTCCTTGGATGACTTTATAAATATGTGTGACTTCCATTCATAAAGCTTCAGGCCTGCCCTTCTCCATTGCCCTTTCGTCCATTCCACTATTATCCACTATTATCATTGTCCCTTCACCCCTCCACAACTTAACCTTCCTTTAGCAGTGTCTGTCATGAAATAGCTCTATCCAACGTATGGTTAACTGAAAACAAGCCAACCCAAATAGTCCTTTCAAGTTTATCACTTTATGTTCTCCAGTTGACATCTAGACAGAATCTATCGATTTCATTCAACTAGATATTTGCCCTCCATCTCCACTGCTGCCGGCAGAGGGGCAGGAGGATGGAAGCCTGAAAATACTTCAAAGACATTCCCCCACATTCCTTTGCAGAATGTTCTGTTTGTAGAATGTTCTGTTTCTGATGCATGCTCTGTCTAGTCAATCCTTGAAAATGTTGGGGGAGTAGGGGTGAGGAAGTTTTGGCCATCAACTCACCTTCAAGAAAATACCCAAAACAGCCAGCCCATCGGGATGCTGCACGGCTTTTCCAAAATCCCCATATTTGGTGTTCCAGTGAACCAAGTGAAGCTAATGCCAGAGGAAACAAAACTACAATGAACAACTCACACAATAAAGCCTGTGGATTTTACTAAAGGTTATTAGAGAAAGTGAAGACGTAGCCCATTTTGAATGAAAGCCTTTACTTTAAAGCTAATCATTCATGACTCAACCAAAGTGATTTCATCAATACCTTTAAAACAAAGAAATGCATATATCTATGTGTGTTTACACGTAGATAGATTTATGTTAACAGGATGCTTCCCTTTAAATCCATTTACACTTTGCAAATGCTAGATGAAGTTTTGTAGCCTTGATTGCAATGTCATAATTAAAGAGATTAAGATACATATGGGAAGCTTTGTAAAACAAGTAGTTCACTTAGCGTGAACTGAATGTATAAAAGTTTTTTAAAAATTAATGCTAGTCATTCGCAAATACTTTCCCTTGCAAAGAACAACAAAAGAAGCCCCTCTCACCTCTGCAGCGTATTTCTTCTTGTTCACAGTGTGCTCGGAGCCTTGCCCGTCAGCTGAGCCCCAGTGAAAGTGAAACTGAATCAGCCTGTAAGTGCCTTCAAGAGGCCCATCTTTCAGCACTAGAATAGAAAACACAGTACGTAATACACGCTGGTACGTGTGTGTATTACACACCCTGTTCGGGATTAGGATCTTAAGCCTATCCTGTAGTCGTGAAGGTATGCCTGTAGTAACATTTTTGCTCTGTGAAAATTCAATCCAGACTCAGGTTGAGGCCACAGTGTGAACATGAGCGCTTCACCCAGTTCTTATCCCAGGTGCCGGCTGAGGGTGGATGCCTTGCTAGTCCCTGGTTGCTGACTGCAGGATAGAGCTCTTCAGAGGCTTTTTAGGTCAAGACAGAGGAACTCTCAAACTTCATTAAGAATTTCTCTGTGGATCATTTAGGAGGTGACCATGCAACTGCTAGCCAAAGTGCTAGTCCAATGCACAACCAAACCTCTCTCCTGCGGGGGCCGGAAGACTACCCTAATGCCCCCATGCTAACCTTTGGAACAGTTCTGACATAGCAAAATTTGTGAAGTAATAAGCATTCCCCTGGTATTTTCACATGTAAAATCTAATTGTCTTTATAATGCTGCTGTTTAGCTTTATCCTCTTAAACATTTATACCATACCTCTTAAGCCTTCATTTCCTCCGCTATGGAATGCATACATTCAATTTATTACTCCACAACTTATTTACCTGCCAGTTCCGAATGTGGTGTGATATTGTGCTTTGTTATCTCGCAAAACTTCAAATTTCAGTTGTATTTCCCCATGGTTCTAATATTAATGTAACTTTACTCAATACCTCAAACTACCTGTAAATAATTTACAAGTTGGGTCTTCGCAGAGGCAAGTCACGGGAAATCACAGTTTTCCCCAACATTGTTCCAAAACTTTTAATCCTATTTATACATAATAATAGGAATTGACGGAAATATTTCAAACCTCTTAGAATTAGTTGAGTTTTGCCACTTAATTTTGTCTCTCTAGTACTGGAATTAAAACATATGTCACTATTTTATTAGTTTGGTTTTATACTTACATAAAATAATAATCTCAATTTTATTTTGCTTTTACAAAACAAAAAGACAAGGTCTATACAACAAAAGTTGGCTTGCTTAACTTCACATAAGTAAACTTCACCTAAGTAGCAATACTTATATTTATCTACTCAGAAGATAAAACTGGATGGAAGATATTTAAGCAGTGGGGTTTCTCAATAGCTCTCGATACCTCTGGCTGTTAGTTATGCCTTACTAGGAGAAAAAAAAATGGTATCCTTTGTAGATCTGTCAAGAAACATGAACTTGGATGTATTTTGATATCACTCTTAAGACATAAAAACAATTATTCCAAAAGTTTATTTTCATCTAATAATTCTATTAGAAAGAATATTAGTCCCTAATACTATAGGTGTTTGAAAAACATTAATTTCCAGTTTTAATGTACTCTTAAAAGTGAAATGCATTTATGATATAAATTATCATTAAAAAGCCTTATAGGTCTTTAAAGTTAGTAATCAACTGATTGCTAATAAGAAGCAAATCCCATTTGTAATCTGTTTTCTATCCAGTAGAGAGACTAATTAAATAAAACACTCAAGCATCTGATAGAATTGGTGTTCTAAGTGTATCCTATCAAGAATCATATCAAAACCTTAAAGTTCATTTTAAAGGTATTTTTGCTTATTTGAAAGGCAGATTGATAAAAGGAGACAGAAAAAAGATCTTTCAGCTACTAGTTCACTCCCCAAAGGCAGGTGCTAGAAACTCCACCTTGGTCTCCCACATGAGGTCACATATTTGAGCCACCACCTGCTCCAGGAGCAAGGTTGCAAAAGGGGCAGGCAGGACTTGGTTTAGCCCTGCAGTAAGTAAATGCTGGTTTCACAACCAACAGCTTAACCTACTGTGTCATAACATTAATCCAAGTTCTTAAATTTTGATGATAACAAGGCTTACTATTATTTCCTGTTCTTATTCTCTCCCTTGCAGACTTGTAAAACGGTGTCCTAATTTACTGGTTTCTGAGCCCTTTTGTCAAGAGTATGTATGAGCTTTTATTTTAAAACTTGAAAAGTAAAAAAAAAGGAAGGGTACTCTGTGTTCAATGATTAAACACATTCAAAGCTAATCTATTATGACCAGATACCTGTTTTGGCCATGTTAAAGTAAAACTTGTTGCTGTGAAGATTAGACACTTGTCAGCGTAGGAACGATTATTAAATCTTCAAAACGTAAATGTTCCAGAAAGCATCATTTCTAGTCTTTTACTCATTGGTTGTTTCTCACTAAGCTCTTAGCAAGGAGTTTAGGCAATGAAGCTTCTCAAAAGTGTTATAAATGTTAATAAGGTAGTGCAAGTCTTTTTAAGAAACAGACAAGGCTTTGATTAAAGGTAAGGAGCTTATGCTAATTCCTAGATCTACTCAGATATTTATTTCAATTACTACATGCCATTTCTAAAGTAAACATGAAATCTGTAATTGTACTGTAAAATAATCCTTTTTCCAAACAGCAGAAACTGGTTATTGCTTATTTTCTCTGCAAAAACTAAGCATGTTAGTTACCTTGGTGAGACAATGAGTCATTGTCTACTGAAGCACGCTCTTGCAGGGATGTGTCCTATGTTAATGTCTTATTAAGAATTTCAAAACTTAATTTCAATATAAATATCAACATCAAGTGTGTCAGTCAATTTCAGTTCTCATCTGTCATCAGTTGTATACACACATACATGGAAACATACAGCGTTACAGAATACTATTTCTGTATACATTGGTTGGGGAAACTGTCAATTTTTTTTGCAAGAAAAAAGACAGTTAATAAGATTGAAGTAAGTCAGACTACTCATACACCTTGGAAACTGATAATTTGGCATTTCTAAATTTTTTTCTAGTATGTTGCTATTACCTCTTAAGTAAGCACTCAAATAACACACTAAAGATGTTAGTGAATGCCAATAATCTTCCTTATAGCCTAAATACAGATTCTTCTGAATAGTTTTGCTTCAATGAAAACAAATGTTCCCATTAATGATCCTAATTAAAATTATTTGTCAAATTGTAATTCATTCATATGAATAATTCTATAGAAAATCCCATATTTTCATGAGCTGAGCAACTTTCTCTATTAATAGTTGAAAATTTTAAAGCATGCATTATTGTTTTACTTGTCAGCCATTACCAATAATCCTGAATTTATCAACATAAACAAACAGAAAAAGATGGCCATATTGCATTTCTTTTATAAGATGTTTAGCAGCCATTCTTACTAGAGCAAATGAGTGAAAATTCAAGAGAAGAGAAGTTTCGGTTTAGACAGCAAATACACAGCAGTTTATAAGCAAGTGCATATGATGAGAACATAATCAACTATAGGGTTTGTAATGTTTAGGTCCATTTTCGAGATTTTTAGGGTTCTGCTGAGACTATTTATCATGTTCAAGACAAGACCTTCCATTTGCTATTGATGACTATAGAGGGAAAATTCTAGAGCTCCAGAACTAAGTCCCTGGTAATCAAGCAGTGCCCTTATATGAAGATCTATTGTACCATGCTGACAAAGATCCACTTGAAACAAACACAAACTCATTCTGCTTCCTAATTTTTCTCTTGCTAAGCCTACATTCACAGATTAATAAATATCTGAATTTCCAAAACACAGAAATGACAAGAGGATTTCATATGAGTTGGTCCAAAAATTTAGGTATCAGCTTCCAATGTTTTCCCCTAACTTTTCAATAAAACAAGAACATTTTAAACTCAATTCTCAAAAAATTAGCAGGAGTTAAGAGTTTGACCACTACTCTCTGCCAGATACATCCCAAGCAATGAAACATTTTTTTTCAATAATTAAAATAATATAACAGGATTAGCAAATTCCTAATTAAGTTAAGGTGGCTTACATGTAAAGGAATTTAGATAACTGATGGGAGCTTGAATCCAAGCCTCTTAACTCCACATTTTAAAAGAATTCTCTCAAGCTTAACATAGCAATAAACTCAATGAGCTAAGTTCCTAATACCTTAGTTCTGAAACAGATGCAAATTGACAGTTAAGACACAGTTGAAAAAAAATCTAATTCTATGAGAAGTCCTTAAACGCTGTAAATATCATGGAAATGGACAAGCAGTTCCAAAGGCTATTTTTTCATATAGCATGATTTTTAAAAATTTATTCTGCAAATGTATTTGCCCTTAAGACCTACATTTTAATACAAGTACATATCCACATCTTTGACCTAAATAACTGAAAATGTGGAAGAGGCATTGGCAAAACTCCAAGGGAGTCTTTCTCATGCCAAGGAGAGCACGTTTCTCCTCCTTAGCAGAGGAAGGCACTCCCAAAGTTCACAGAAAAGCAGAATTAACGGATTACTTGTATTTTGATGCAATATTTGAAAATGCACCTCGCATTTTTTCCTAGGCATTTTCTGCAGACTTTCTGAAGAGACTTCATAATGTCTTAGCTTTCTAAAGTGCATACTAGGAACTCATTTCCTAGTTCCCTTTGTTTCTAGACTCTTACCCAAACATAAAAATTCTTCTGGCACCCCCATGATCCTTATTTACTTTTATTTACACTCTTTATTTACTCTTAAATTGCCTCACATGGGTCAACACCTCAGTCTCCCTTAGGTTTCCATAGAACTTGGAACACCACCCTTTTGCCCTTATCGAAGTAGATTCCAGTGTCTTATGATCACCATATCATTTTCCTTGGGGAATGAAAGGGAAAGGACCAGACATCCTTCTTGTCTTCATGTTGCTTAACTCTTCATATATTCAATTGGCATAATTTCTTTTTTTGTATTGACACTAGATGGGTAACAAACACACATCCTGAAAGATAAGGGTTGGCACTCCTGTCTAAATCAGCTATTCTTACTCTGTCGCACCACCTAACCATGATCAATTTCCTTATCCATGCATACAGTATTCACCAAGAGAAACCATTGAATAAATGCAATTAGCTCTATTTAGTTACCGCTCAAGTAGAATTAGAATCAAATTCTCTGAAGGATAATCAGATAACATGTAGCTTATACATAACGTTAAACATTTTAAAAACCTGACATACTTCTGTGTATTAAAGACACTTAGTCTAAAAGTTTTATATACTCGCAGCAAAACACATAACTATGCAAGTAAAATAACTTCATTTATAGATAGTACATATTTAATAGTGTAAGCATGTTTTGAAATTAAGAATAACATTTTTCAATGACAGCAAGTGATTGAAAGTAATCATAAAGGTAATGTAATAGCTTCTGCAACTATCTTAAGACAAGCAGAACAAAAGCAATTGCCTACTAAGGCAATGGAACTGTGGAGTAATGACACTTACAGTGGTCATTTACTGAGGGACTGCCATATCCTGCACTAAGTGCTTTGATCTTTCCTCCAATCTCACAGCAACACAACAAAATAAGCCACCAAAACTAAGAGGTTAAATTACCATCCTTCCCGAGTCCTGGTACGTCTGGCCTCACTCACAGATCACAGTCACTAGCCTGCCTGCTGAATTCCACTTCCCAGTACTGGGTTACTCAAATTTCTTTCATCATCCCTTTCTTTGTAAGGGAATTGCTTCCTTTGAATGCATGTCAGATTTTTGTTTCCTGTTTGCTCTAAATTTCTATGTAGCATCCAGTGAGGTATATAATTTGCCAAGTAACTCATCCATTGAAAAAAAAATGTCCCCCTAGATACATCTTTCAGGCCTAATTTTACAAAACACAGAAGAGGGATTTGTAGGATATTGTGATCCTAGAAGGTCAGTGAGCAGAGGATTACAATTGATTGGCAATATTTGTATAACCACCGAATGAATACCTTTTGTATAACTGATATGATGTCATTTGTATAAGAATGACTGAGTGTGTACCATTTGTATAACTAAATGGATATCATTTGTATGAGAACACTTGGTGGAATATACAGAATAAAAGGAGTTCCAAACAAAAGTATAGAAACAGTTGATGGGTTTTGTTGATAAGGTCAATACCTCTTCCTTATCCCATATGACTCTCAATCTATAAAGTCTGACACCCCTAATAAACTTCAGCTTTCGACAATCAAAAAAAAAATGGCTCCATTATGACTAAAAAATAAAGCTGACAGCTATGAATGAAAGCACCTCATTTTTAAATTTTGGAATATCTAAATATGAAGTTCTGCTTCATGCTTTCTGCAAGCGCAATATCTAAAGACTTGCCATTTTACATATGTACAGAATTTCTCACAAGAAAAAAAAGAGAAATCTTTTGTTTAATCATGTGAGCATGGTTTCTGTGAGTGGGAGGAATCGAGTGGAGGCAAAGTAGCCGAGTCCCTTAGGGACGATGTCCTCAGTGCTGATGTGCACCAGAACCTGAGGGTGTGTGTCACCCTCGGGTGGGGGACATTGCTGCAACAAGGTCGAAACATTTCTCAGATGACCTCCAACCTCTGCCCCACTTGGGGGACTTCCAAAATCATCCTTTTCAGGAAGCCAGGAGTCCCAATTATTACAGAAAGGTGAAGAAAGAATTATTTTTTTTTCAAAACTGGACTGAATATATTGCATAGCTGTTAGAAAAATCAACTTGATCTAATGGTAATAATTCCATATGATACAACAAAAATAATACTGTGGGTCGTGCAGTTTTATTGACTGCCTCTTCCGTCTCTTCTCCTTTGTTGTCCTACACTCCCCCCACTCGCGCCAGCACCAAACATCATGGAACTGTAGCACCATTTCAATCTGTCTAGACATTTAAAGGAAATGTGCTTGGGAAAATAGGGCACTGGCAACTAAGTCAAGTAATGAGCAAGAACGGCAGCTACTGTGTCGGAATAGGATTGTTCTCCGGTTTCTAAATAGGAAGAAAAGAAGCATTCACTTGGCATCCTGTAAACAGCTCTATTATAAGTAAGTTAGAGTAATTGGTTTTGTCAATAATGAGCCACATATGTCCACCAACTCTAACACATTAATTTGTGGAATGAGTTTCTGGCTATACTCCAAGATACTCCACCAACCTTCATCACAACAGACCAATACCAAGAACTATTGACGAAGCCTTCCAAGAAAGTCAGCATTCTAGGTAGACAGATTTTCATCATGTTTTTCTCCCTACTGCTTTTTAGATAACACTCATTAGTAAATAGTTTGTGACGGGTAGATGTGCACTCTGCAAGACAAAGAATCTTTAAGAATTCGGTTGCTGACTTTGGTTGCCATGGAATCTTACCTTTGTTACTTTTCACAGGCATACACCAGTTACTCTAAGCCCGCCATAGAAGTGAGGAATTTTACCAAGGAGAAAGTGCCTAGGGACACTGGAGGTAATTAGCCTACTTCTCAGAGTTTTTCAACCTAATGAAGAATAGCAATGTAGAGTAGAAAATAAACTCTAGTAGAAATGGACTTCCTCCTCCCACCCTGCTCCTGGCTTCTTTCCTGAGGCTGGGAAACAGCTCTGAACGAACTACCCCTCCCCCAATACACTATGCCTTAAACACTGACCTGCTTTGTCGTTGGAGTCATCAAACTCCACGTTGAAGGAGTGGCCATTATTGATGATCCTCCGAGAAATCGGTTGCTCATAACACACCTGCAGAGGCTTCAGCGAAGCATCATGCTTGGCCGCGTGAGTGTCGATGTCAATGGGAGACTGCCGCTCCCCGTTGGCAATGGGGAACTCTTTATGCCAGTGCTCCGGTCCTGGGGAGAGATGGAAGTGTGTGAATCCCGCAGGGTGAGGCCGTGTACACCCAGGCCCCCAGGAAAGGAGCCCCAAGGAGTCCCCCTGCTCGGCCACTTAGTAGCAGAAAACCCTCTAGGAAAACACTCTGTGTCTCAGTTTCCACACTTGTCACAGAGTAACATAATCATATGGAAATAGCTTTTATGAAGTTACCAGAATGAGAATTCACACATGAGAAATTTTTAACCAGTGTCCCCTAAATATGAGTTATTTCGGGGTCCCTTCACTGAAATTAAACGATTTTGAAATTGGACAGACACGTCCTCTAGCCTTCTGGTTGGGATTGGGGCTCAGTAAACTCACAACGCCATTGCAGCAAGCCCAGATCCCTCTTAGGGTCCCTTGCAGCGCGATGAATGAGAAGATAGAACCTCGTTGCCCAAGCTCGGCAAACCAGCTTTCTCAATGTTTGGCTCACAGTCACACGGGAACACACGGGACTCCCCCACGCTCCCCAGACGCCCCAAATCCCACCCCATTCCGCCTTCCCCATCGCCCTGCCTCTCACTCCCCGTGCATCTTTCTGGGGTCTGCCGCCTGGGACAACCTTGACCGGCGGACAGAATACAGCCTGGGCTGTGGTGACCCACATCCGGAACGTCAAAAGTCGAGAAAACTCGGTTCAACAAAATGCCCCACACCAGGTTGTGCAGAAAGCTTTAACCACAGGTGGATCTGTAGCCTAGTAGGGTGTGTGTGTGTGTTGATGGGGGGGGGGGAGGAGGAGAAGAGCAGCAAGAGGGGTCCCTTGATTTCTCTGCTAAAATATGCCGTTACACCCCTGCCCCGCTTCCTCACTGCTGCAGGGCCCCGGCTGGAGATCCAGGGGGGAAACGCTCCGAGTCCCCTCCCTCGGGCCCTGCGCTCTCCGCCTGTGGAGGCGCGGATTCCTCGACAGAGCCTGGGAGCCGGGCGAAGGGGGCATCCCCGGTGCGCACCGGAGCCTCCCGCGCCCGCCCGCGGCCACGGCCAAGAGCAGGTGCAGGCGCTGAGGGACGCCGGCCGGCCGGCCAGCGGCGCGGTCCGGGGGTTCGCGGCCCCGGACGCCCCCGCCCGCCGCCCGCACTCACCGTTGTGCTTGCCGTAACCCCAGTGATGGGACATGGTCGCTCCGGCGGCTGTCGGGGCAGAGTGGGAGTTGCGCCGGGTCTAGCGGCGGCTGCTGGTGCTCAGGCACGCTGTGTCCGCGGGTCGCACCGTCATCGGCTTTTATAGGCTCCCGCCAACTTTGCGCTCGGGGGCGGCCCGGGGGGAGGGATCCCCGGGTGGACCTGAGCGACGAGGGAGGAGGTGACGGGCGGAGGTGATCTCCCTGCCCCGGGGGGCGGGCCGGACTGGCCAGGAGCCGAGGGCGGGGACAAGGTCCTGTCGGAGGGCGCGCGTCGGTCAGGCTTGGGCGCCCCTCTCACGCCACCCGGCTCCCCTCGGGCCCCCCGTGCGAGGGTGGCCAGCGAGGTCCGGAGCCCTGGTGCGCGCTGGCGGCGGCGGCCCGGCTCCTCCGTCCCAGCCCGGGCTGCGGAACGTTGACGCGCACCCATCCCCCTCCCGGGCGCCGAATGTGGCGCGGCGGCGCGGACGGCTCGGGACCCGGGCCCTCCCCCGGCGCCCTTCATCTCCAGTCCCCGTTGTGATCGCGTCCTTGGCCTCACAGCCATCCCACTCCGGCTCCATCGGACGCACTCGTGCCGAGGTGTCCGAGTCGGAGGCCTCCCTCTCTCTCTCGCGTCCCCGACCTGGGGCTGGCGAGCTCGGTGAGGAGCTATGACCTTGGGGCAAATAGGGATACGGTCCTTGAAGAGGCGCGGGGGAGCGAGCGGCGCCGAGTGCTGGGAGCCTCGCGCCCTCCGCCGGCCGGCCGTGGGATAAAGCGAGGAGCGCGCCTCTGCCCTGCGCAGTCCGAGATGGTATCCTGGGGTACCCTGGCAGGGCCTCAGTCAAGTGCCCATCTCCTCCCTCTATCTTCCTCCTTCTCTTTACAGAATTAACTCTGGGGAAGAGACTTTCCACTGAAGCACCGATTGACGTAACTAAAACGAATAACGTAGAGGGCACTTTTGTTTAGAGAAAAAAAAGAATATTTCTTCCAAAGAAGAGAGAACTCTGCCTGGTTGACAAAGGAAATTTGCACCTACACTAGGTCTGAAATCATCCAGAATTTAACAGGAAGGCCAGGCAGCACTGTGACTTGCATGTGCCCTTGGTACTCCTGCCTTCACAAACACATATTCCAGCTGCATGAATATAACGATCAGCTTAATGCTGTGTATTTAAACATTTTCCTTATCCTAGAATCTGGTTTTCCTTATCCTAGAATCTGGTTTTTTACCTTTCTGATTTTCAGAGAAAACCTTTTCGTGGACACCTAGGGCTGTGGTGGGCTGGAAGCACCTTACGGTGATCAGCTGCCCCGACGGATTGGACGTCAGGCTGTTTGGAAGGAAGGAGAGATAAATGCTCGTCTTAGAAGGTGCTTTGCCACAAGCCAACAACCACAAAACCAACTCAGGGGCAGGGGCTTATGTACTGTGGTCCTTGTGATTTCCAAGGGCTGAAATTGGGAAGGTGGGATACAGTTAGTAGGATTGCATCCGACTTCCAGTATATAATAAGCATTACTTATATTACTTGCACTTAACACTCCACGGCTAAGTAAAAAGATGTCAGGGCATTCGTGCTTTTTTTTTTTTTTTTTTTTTTTTTTGCCATATTGGCCTGAAAATCATTACTGTTTATTTCAGTTAACTTCACAAAATGTGATTCTCTTTTAGATTTACTTGTTCTAAAACTCTAGAGGACTGTGTCATTCTGTGTGCCGAGTGTCCTGGTGGATGCCACAGTGTATCCGTAGGCAAAGGAGCAGCCATGCATTTTTGAAATTTCTGGAAGCTACTAAATGTACTTCGTATCTGAGAAAAGCCCTGTATTTGTGCCTCTGCAGGTGTATTGTCTTGCTTAGTTGTCAGTGACACCTTGATTCTTTGCTATTGTTGGAATATTTACTTAATTAGGAAGGCAGGATCTTTGAAGTGAGACTGCGCTGTGTTGAATACAAGGCCTCTGAATATCTAGTGGGCTCCAGGAGACTGAGAAGGTAGCCAGGTGATCAGATCAGCATGAAGCCTCGTCTTTCATTTCCTGTGAGCTGGATTGTGGCTTTATTAACCTGGAGGAACTAGGAGAGGGAGCATGCTCTGATTATTAAACAATGCTGAACTTCAAATACCACCAAAGTGTTCAGTGAATGCAATCCAAAGGGGGAGGGGGGAGTATTTTCATTAGAAAGGAAGAATTACTTCTTTATCTGCTTTATCTGCTGGTTCACTTTCCAAATGGCCACAAGGCCCATCTGAAGCCAGGAGCTGGGAGCTTCTTCCAGGTCTCCCACGCAGGGTAGATTCCCAAGGACTTAAGCACAAGCAGGGGGCTGTATGGGAAGTGAAGCAGCTGGAACATGAACTGGAGCCCATACCGGATGCTGACGCTTGCAGGCAGAGGATTAACCAAGAAAGCTATTGCGCCAGCTGGGAATTTTTCTCTAATCCAATCTAATCTTCTAGAAAGAATTCTCAGTGGGTGCTTGCTGGAGACCCCAGCCTTGTTAGAAAGACAAAAAGTGGAAAGTGAGGAGGGTGGGGAGATGGGGGGGGAGGGGAGGGGAGAAAGAGAGAGAAAAAGTTATTCCCTGGTTTCCTACAAGGTAGAGGAGAATGCATCTCCAGGACTGGAGATGCAAATATTTTCTTATCCGGTCTTGCTGTCTGAGCTCTTCCCCCACCTCCACCCCCTGGACAGCTTTTGTAATAAGCTTGGCTTTCGCCTTCCTGCAGATCAGCTTCCACCTCTCCTGGCTCTTACAGTGGGTGTTTTGAGCAGGCTGGCAGTATGCTCTGCTGGCCAGGCAGTGCTCTCATACTAAGCAGTCATGAAGTCTGTGGTCCAAGTATTATAATAAAAGACCCACAATCCGTCAATCTTGGTGAAAACATAAAATGAAAATACAAAGATCATTGCTTTCTCTAAACAAAGTAGAGATTTTAATATTACATGTTTACAGAGTGAAATACACATGACTTACTCAATATTTAACTAAAAGGTTAATGACAAGTTTATTTCATGTCTTACACTCATAACATTAAAGTAAACATCAGTGAAAGCTCCCTTAACTCTGTGTATACATCTCTTTACTTTAATATTTGTGACAGTATATTCTGATAAGATACTGCATTGAAATCATCAGAATGCAACCCACTGGCCCCCAAAGAAAGAAGCTGTTGGCTGCTCATTTGTAAATGAGGAATAATGGCATGCACCTCGGGGTTGTTGTAAGAATTCAATTAGTGAATATGTAATCATCTGCCACCTGTAGGCACTCTGTGAATGATGGCTCTTCAGGCCTTCCTAGGAGGTACTCAACAATTACAGTATAATGAAGTGAATGCAAAATTAAACACTTGGGTGGGGCCCAAGGGAAGAATTTAAGATGTGTGAACCTCCAGCAAGACGACTTGTGTGTATGCGCCTGGGTGAGACAGAGAGGAAGGAAAAGTACTGGAGTCCTGGAACCATCCATTCAGTCATATTTGCATATTTCATTTTCTGTATTAAGTTGAGCCACCTGAGGTTGGAAGCTGCATCGTATTGTTTACTTCTGTCTCCTTGGCACCTAGCACCTTCTACCCAGCCTAGGCCCCAGGACACATGATGTAGCTACTCTTTGGGATTATGAAGTCTTGACAATCCAAACGGAGATAACAGCAGTTTCACGGTTCACAAGCCAGCCAGTTAGCAAAAGACGTTGGGATGAAATTAGATGGGCTTTGAATTTGGGTGAACTCAACGTGTTCTATGGCCGTATTGATTAATCTTACTAAGGTTCAATTTTATTCTCTGAAAAACTGTATTAGTATTAATAATGATGATAATAATAATAAATAATAATACCCGCATCATAGGTGATGGTTAAGGCTAAATGATATGCTGAATGTAAAGGATTTAGCATGACTGTCCTGTTTTCTTGAGATTTCCTTTTATGTGCTTAATATTTTTGTCACTGTGTGGACTCCACAGGTTGAGTCATCCGTTCATTCATTCTGCAGACCCCATCAAGGGCATCAGCACAGGAGCTTTAGCCATACAACAGACCAGTAGGAGTCATGTCTTCAGGGAGCCGTCGTGGAAATGGATGGGGTAGCCCACAATAAACAACCAAGCAGAAATAATATTTTTTTTTCCTGACACTGAGCGTCAGTTTGGAGAAAAAAAAAAAAGAGAGGAAGGGGGTAGATTTTAACAAAAGAAGAAATGTAGCTTAGGATGCAGTAGGATCACTGAAGAAAGGCCACTAAAGGATGTGACATTTGAGGAACCAGGACAGAGAAAGCATCAAATAGTAAAGTCGGAGCAAGACAGTTTCTAGAGCAGCAAAGCTCATGACGAGAGCATCGTGACAGACAGTGAAGTCAGAGGCTGCAGGAGCTGCTCCCTGCAGAGCCCTGCACACCAGAACCCAGGGAAAGATCTCATAATTGCACCAGGAAGCCAGTGGGAGGTTGTAATAAAGGGAATAATACAAATTGCAACAATAAGGCATCTTAGAATTAAAAGACATTTAGAGGTTTTCTGATCTGCCTCCATGTCTTATAGATGAGGAAACTAGTCCAGGCGTCCTGCTGTGTCCTACATCTCTGCTTTGGCCCACCTACAAGTCTGCTGACAAAAACATCCATACCCCTTCTGTAGAAACATAAAACCATTAAATCCTGGCTCTGCTTTGCCACTTTCCTCCCTCTGATAATCTGTACATGACAGGAGACAGTATCGTAAACTGGCCAAGAGCCCAAGTTCTGTGTTGAATTTGGATTCAAGGACTTATCTGTTGCATAATCTTGGATAGCTTCTTGCACTCCTGAAGCCTCAGGTTCCCTATGTGAAATGCAATAGGAATACTGAGGGTTGGAGAGAGTAATCAAAGAAATACGTAAACTGTGTGATCTGCTCATGTGAAATAACGTGATGACTGGCATGTTGTTAGTGGTTGTCTTGAGAGTATTGCTATGGCTGTAGAGAGACACATTATCAAATGGGAACCAACTTGGTACTGACACAGAGGACAGTCCCATGTCCTGGGATTCAGCACGTGCTGCCTCTCTTGGAGTGAGCTCGGTGATCCCTCTGAGCTCCACCTACTCATTTCCATAATAAAG